TGAGGACCTTGAGAGAGGAAACAGGGAATCCCTCCGGTCCCAGCACCTGCTGTCAGCCTGGGACGACTCTCACGGGGGCATGAGCTCTGGGTCTCAGGGACATTGGAGACTTGATATAAGGGGCGAAGCTTCAGAGATTGGAGGGGAGATTCTTAGTTTCTGAAGGAGTTTAGGTGAGGACCTTGAGGGAGAACTGAGGGGAGCCTGGACTCCAATCAGAGGAGACTTAAGAGAAGCCAGTCCCTGCTGTTGGTCCTTGACATCCCTGGGGTAGAATGAGTACAGGAGAACATGGTCAGACTTCCTGACATACAGGTCTCATACTATGGACACGGTGTGGGGGAGGAGTTCCTGATATCTGGGTCTCAGACTGAGACCTCACATGTGAGGTGGGGACTCAGGAAGATAATTTCCCAGGTCCTGCGGGGTGTCAAGTTGAGGATCCTAGGAGGGATTGGGGACCATGGACCCCAGTCAGAGGGCACCTCCGAGAAGCCCATCTCCGTTGTCAGTTCAGGGCGACAGTGGAATAGAATGAGTGAAACAGGCATGGTCTGATTTCCTGACATCAGTGTCTTCGAGAGATTGGGGTCCTGGTATAAGGGACGAGGCTTCAATTGGGGAGAGGCATGAATCCAGGTCCTGCCCGGGGCCAAGGTGAGGTGCCTGAGGAGAACTGAGGGGACCCTGGGGGAGGATTGACGGAACCCGAGAGATCCCTGCCCCTGAAGTCATACGTGGGAGCCCTTGAGGTGAGAAGAGCACACTAGGCCCATCTGCCTTCCTCACATGCAGGTCTCAGAGAGACTGGGGGCCTCATGAGAGAGGGAGGGCCTCAAAATGGAGGACAGGCTAATCCTGCATCTTGCCTGGAGTCCAGCCTCCATGAGAGCAAGGAATGAGTCAGTTAGACCCTAACATGAGGAGGGATCCTTGCCTTTGGTGGGGGTCTTGGAGGCCACAGAGTGGGGTGAACGGGGTGAGCAGTTTCTTGACCTCTGGCTTAGGGACCTCGAGACCGGAGGTGATCAGGCGGAAGGCTGAGGCTTCAGGTCCACAGAGGGTGGGCTTCCCGGACCCCGAGGAAGGACTGAGCAGACCCCCACCGCTGTGGTTAGTGCTGGAAGGCCAGGCAGGATGTCAGGAGGAGCTGAGGGCCTACGGGAGGCCCTGAGCAGGTGTGGCCACATGTGGGACTCATTAGCACTTTCTGTTCTTTTTCTGAGTTTCTATGAGGGAAGGGACCAGGTTGTGCCATGGGAAAGGTGAACATTAACAAGGGAACTCCAAGGGGACCTCCCACCACACAACTGTGGTGACCTCACAGAGTCCACCGCTTGTACCATCCCAGAAGGCTCAGGGCTATGCCACAGGATACTGCGGAGGTGCCCCCTCCATGTCTCTCACAGGAACCAGAAGGCGAAGGCAGAAGTCTGAGGACCATGTCCTGAGGTCAGAGTAGGGGAGGTCCAGCCAGTGCTAGGAGTCAAGCTAGGAGGGTGTCCTAAGTGTGCAACAGGGCTTCCCTTCCCAGAATAGAGGAGACCCCACAAGGACCTAACCCCCACACCTTGTCAGCCCCAGAAATCTTGGACTGTGCTGTCTGCACCCTGGGAGCCACCTTACATCCTCCTTCAGGCAGCCAGGGAACTGGTCGCCCCAGAGGCATGCCCCTGTGAGGTCTGAGAGCACCCCTCAAGGGGAGACCTGTATTTCTCAGCCGGGGCCACTCACAACCCCTCTCTCCCCCAGGCCCGTCATCCCCATCAATTCCCCTGCCTCACTCCTGTCTGTGGTTTGATCCCAGGCATTGCACTCGTGGTCAGGATGACTGAGCTGAGCAAGCCCAAGGAAGACCTTTAGGATCCAGGCGAGGCCCAGGGCCCGGTGAATGTGCAGCTCTTGGAGGCTGAGGCGGGGGAGGCTGCATCCACCTCAACCTCCTCGCTCCCAGTCTCCTCCTTGCCCCTGTGGACAGAGGATGAGACGGTTGGATGGCGTCACCGACTCAATGGAAATGGGTTTGGGTGGACTCCGGGAGTTGGTGATGGACAGGGAGGCCTGGCGTGCTGTGGTTCACAGGGTCGTAGAGTCGGACACGACTGAGCCACTGAACTGAACTGAACTGAACTGACACAAATTTTAAAAGGAGGTTTCTCTTAAAATACTGTGTTGCCATAATGACACCTGGTTCCACCTGAAGTTGACTATTCTCCAACCTTGAGTTAACCAATGCATTTTTCTTATGGAAATGCTTGTCTCAAGCTGTATTAATATATTATGCATTTACCCCAGACTCTAACGGCTCAGAACTGACTTGACAAACCATTATGTATTACTCAGACATTGTTCCCCTAACCTATGTAAACAAAACTATTTGTATGGTGATCTGCCCTTCTACAAGATTCAAGTCAATCGCTTTATGGCCTGGGATGACTCCTCTGGTGCCAAGAGTATCCCAAAATACATCTTATGGATGAGAGGCCTGGTGCCATTCTGAGTTTTAAGACATTCCTTTCTTTCATTAACAGACTGCTAGTGACTATATAGCATCCAGCTAAAAACTAGCAGGGGGGTACTCTTTCTGCCGCCTTCAGGTGCCTATGTCAGAAGCTTTCTCTATCTCGTTTATACTTTGATAAAAATTTATTACACAAAAGCTCTGAGCTATCAAGCCTTGTCTCTGGCCCCGGACTGAATTCTCCTCCGGAGGCCAAGAATCCCAGAGTCTTTTCTTGGGTCAGCAACAACCTTTCAACCTGTTACTCCATCCTGATGGTGCTTTTTTCAGTCTTGGTCCCAGTTGAAACCCCTGAGTCAAAGGAGGAGCAGGGAGAATCCTCAGATTATAAGTGTGCCCTCTGTGAGCAGGTCAAGAACAAGCCCAATCCCTGAGCTGCCAGATCCCTGGGGACACTCAAAAGCACTCTTTTGTAATCAAAATAGATTTATGGCTCTAATAAAGTAAAGCAAAACTCCACTGGAGATAAACAATCAAACAAGAACTGCGAGTCTGTGTTCTTTCTATCTGTCCATTGTATTCACACATGGCACAAGATGAGCCAGAAAAGGCTGGAAGCCCACGCCCTATGCAGGCTTTGGTCCAGTTCCCACTGTCCCTTTTCATCTGAAACAGCAGCATTTCACAGATTCATCCAAGCATCTGAATCATGAGCCGAGTGCTGAGGCAAGCCCAGGACGGACAGGTCCCTGGGCCTTGCCTGCCACTCAGCAGACGGCCCAACTGGGCTCCCGACCTTTGTGGTGTCACCTTCCATGAGTCATGCACCCTGCAGCAGAAGAGCTCCTCAAGTGTCCCCCAACGATGCCACAAGTTTCTGATCAGCAGCTGAGTGTCCCAGCTCCCTATCCAGGGGCCTCCCCAGGAGATTCACTGGAAAGCAGGGTCACACCAGCCGCCAAGTGCCTTGCAAACACATTACCCCAACCCCAAAGACAAGTACAAGGTTTCCATAAGGTGAACACCAGCCCTAGTCACTCTGCCCTCACAGCTGTATTTAGGAGCCTCTCTTTTTGGGCATGAGGCGGCCAGGCACTGCATCCAACACACATGCTTTGAGAGCCAAGGGACACTTTACAGTAGGACAAGGGTCATGTGCAAGGATAAACAGTGGCCTGTTTCTGTGCCTGTGGGCCTCTCTGCCGGCCTATGCACAGCCCTGCCCCGAGCCTTCCTCCATCAATGTTGGTCATTGTTCCAACATCCGGGACTTTGGACCAGAACAGAGAGGGAAAAACACTAACCGGTTTCCACAACACATTTCTCTCAACCACCCAGATCCAGCAGGGCCAAAACGACTGGCAATGCCATCAATTCATAAAGGTCAAAGTCCCAGAGACTCTCACTGATTCCAGAGCAGCATCACATGAGAGGAGTCCCTGCCCCCAGCCCCGCACCAAGTGGGCACCACAGCACAGGCCGATTCAGACAGAACCAGGTGGGCAAGTCTAGAGCGCAATGGGGACTGCATGGTATCAGCATGTTCTGGTCTCTCGGTCACTTTCCTCTCGAGAGCCCAGTCTGGACAGGCCTCCTGCCCAAAGAGGATCAGGTGCTGGAGGATGTCCACCTGGAAGATGTCCTTCCCGCCCCTTCCAGCGATGGGCTGCAGCAGCCAGTGGGAGTTGGCAAGCACAGTCAGGTACTTCTGCTGCAGGTCGGGTAGCAGGCCTTGATTCTCCAGCTCCTCCACCTAGTCGGGACCTAGGTTTTCTAGGCACAGCAAAATGCCCCCGATGACCACGAGATGTGTGCAAAGACAGGACACAGAATGAGAACAAGGTCATTCAAGGTTGCACCTGCTTGAGACTAAGACCATATCATGGAGGGAACCTGAGGCAAACTGGGTCCTCTGGCTGAGCATTTCAGATGGGCTCACTTCAGCAAAGGGAACTCATGGCGAGGCCAAGCGAGGGAGGGAGGAAAATGAAAGAGAGAAGCCCCATGCTCCATGAACCCACCAGGCCACGGGCAGCTCTGTCTGCCCACTGCAGGCCACAGGGACAGAGCAGGAGGGCCCCAGCGGGGGTCAGCAGACATCAGGTCCCCAAGGAATTTACCAGCAGACAGGTGTTGCTGTGGGGCCTCACCCCTGGGGAGTCAGGGGACTTGCTTAGGCCCTGCTTCAGGCAGTGTGTGTATGGAACCCAGGCTGGGTGCTTCACTGCCTCTCATGGTCTCTGCCGGGCACACAGACACACGTCAGGACACACACACACACAGACACACAGACAAGTGCCACGTACAGACCTGGACCCACCTCTACCTCAAGCACAAACGGGGACTGAGGCCCAGGGTGGTGATCAGGCACCTCGGGCAGCTGGCTCCCAGCCCAGGGACCCTTGCTGTCCCTCTTAAGAAACCTCAGCCGCCATGCCCAACCTCACAAACTAGTTCAACAGAAAACAAACAAGCACAATCCGGCCAAGATCCAGGGCAATGCTGGGGGCCATGCGGGCAACAGGAGGCAGGGCATCACTTACCCACGGCCACTCCATGACTGAACTTTACCCCGTCCCGCAGCAAGGCCTGGATCTGGGTGGGGCTCATCCCCAGCCTCTGTTCCAGCAGCTCCCGCCAGGCCACGTCCTCCCAGTCCCGGTGTGCCATGTGGACGGCCATGGTATAGTGCTGGTGGCTGTGTAGCATGGGCTGACACGGCATCTCCATCTCCAGGGTCTTGACACCGTTTTAAGACAAAACCCGCATAAGGCCGTCAGAAGAGCAGACAGCCGAACTTCATCTCCCAGGGCTCCCAGGTCTTCATGTGGCTGCAGAAACTCAAAACCACAAAGGTCAGGAGTGTGATTCAGTGGCCTGCAAGCTCACAGCCCTGGGCTGGACCTCAGCCCCACGAGCCCGCACATCCTCCAAATCTGCTGACACAGAATGCATGGGTCAGAGAAGGCTGGCTCTTTCCATCTGTCTCCACGCAGTCCACTGATAGCGGGGTGGCAACCCAGAGGACCCATCCATCCCATGCAGTCTGTGGGGAGGTCAGCAAGGAGGGTGGGACAGCAGGAGAAAGGCATGAGGTGAGTTCTGAGACAGAGGGCCCTGAAACCCTCAGAGCACTGAGGAGCGAGGGCAAGCCCCCTGGCTTCACAGCCCAGAGACCAGGCTCTGGTCCTCTACCAGCAGAGACAGCCATTGTCCTGGGCTTGGCTTCCCCCACTCCCTGCCACCACCCCACCTTTCAGCTCTGCGGCCCCATCATTGCCCATGTTCTGCAGATCCCCCATCTTAGCCCAGGGATGATGAGGGCAGATCTATGCTAACCAATGTGGACTCAGCCATGGGGCACCCTGGACCTCAACAGCCCTGCCAGGCGTCTTCCCCATAACTTTGGGAGCCACTTTCCACCCAGTCCTTCCCATACCACTGCCTCCACTGGCAGCAGATGCCCCGGGCCCTGCCCAGAGCCTATAGAAAGAACAAAGAAGAGCAGGAACTACTGGGATGGGTGCACTCCATGTCATCACCAGGGCCTAGGATGGCACCATGCAGGGATCACAGAATTCAGACTTCAAATAATCCACTAGGTTATCATCGCCTCGTTCGACGGCTGAGGAGGCATAGATACGTAGCCCATGACTGCAGGGGATTTGAACACATGCACCACCATTCTCACTTCTTTCCCTGTACCTGGGGGGGGGGGGTGTTCCCTGCTCACTGGATGGGGGTTGAGGCAGAGGGGCAGAGCCGCGAGTCAATGTCACCAGGGTCTCAGCACCTTGCAAGGGGCTCCTGTTTCCACATGGCTGTGAAGATTGGGACAAGGTCCCAGGGGCACCCCACTCAGGGCCTTCTGGACCTGTCCCTCCCCGAGCACAGCAGAACCACAGTTCTCACAGGCCCACGAGCCCCTACGTGATCTAGCTCCTACCCTGGTGGCCTGCTCTCCTCGACCCTGGATTCACTCCCAGGAGCCACAAAGGCCATCTTTCCATCCTTGGAACATTCCAGTGTATTCCTTCTTCAGAGCCTTTGTAGGGTGTGAGGACTCACATCATGTACCCTCAGAGTCAGGTGCTGGAGTCCCAATCCCAAGTACCTTGGCGTGACCTTACAGACAAAGGAAAGTTCTTCACAGAGCTGATGGAGGTCAAGTGAGCACATTAAGGATGGACCCTCCTCTAACAGTACAGCTGTCCCCATATGAAGGGCACATTTAAAAAGAGACAGGCACATGGGGGGAACTGGGGTGAAGAGGAAGGCAGAGCTCTCCAAGCCCAGACACACCCACCAAGGCCAGCAATGCCCTGGCAGAGATGGAGGAGAGATGGGAGAGACGCTCCACAGCCCTCATGAGAGCCAATGTCAGTCAACACCTCGACCTCCGCTGCCGGGCCTCCTGAACCAACATGGATCCTAGTATGAGCCACCCAGTGTGATCTGGATGTGACTGCCAGCAAATGAAGCCAGAGGGTCAGCCCTGTCCGGACATCTCTCTTCAGGGTCAAGTGGGGAGTGGGGGGATGGCTTCTCCACTCCCAGGACCTCGGGCACACTCTTCCACGTCTGCACATCCTCATGTGTCTCTTTACACCTGCCAGTGTCAGGGGTCCCACAAGTTACTGATGCTTCCTTCTTGATGGAAGGGAAGGGAAAACTCATTCTGCCAATACAGCCACTCGACATGACAACACACTCATTGAAAAACCATGCAGGAGGTGGCCCAGGGCACATGGCACACAGCCGAGGTGCTGACACACACCAGCAAATGGCCTTCCAGAAAGGCCTCCCCTGTTTCCACTCCACCAACCACAGGCAAGGGTGTCATGGCCACATGCACTGGCTGGCCCTGAGCATCATCATTCGGTTGAACGTTTGCCCACCTGCTGGGTGAAAAAGGGTCATACTTTTCACTGGGTCTGGCTTGGTTACAAAGGACCTGGATGGCCCTGGGGCTTGGCCATTGCTGTGTCTTCTACTGGGGTATGTGACTGGATCCCAGGCTTGCCCAGTGGCCGCCATTCAGTTTCTCAGCCAACCCAACCCCTTCCTCCTGAGAGCCTCCAAATCTCACCTGTGTGGGTGGAATCCCTGAGCAAGAAGTGGCTGCAAGCACTCCTACAGCCTGAAGCAGTGGGTGCCTGCTTGGTGGCCAGAGGAGAAAACACTCTTCTGCCTGCTTGACTGGGCATCTTCACCTGCACGAGGATCAGAGGAACAGGGAGAAAGTCACCAGTGACAATACAGCAGTCTTGGACAACAGCTACCATGGTCTTCTCCTTGGCAGGGGCCTCAAGCCACGGGGTCCCAGGAGGGCCCAACTGATGAGAAACACATGAGCAGGTTCCCTCAGGGTGGGTTCTGCTCATCACAGCAGCTGGCCTGTCCTCATGTGGCTGGGACAGGGACCCCACGATGACTCAGTCCATAGCACATAAGCCCATCTCCCAGGAGTGATGGTGATTTACAGCCCAGGAGACCCTGCAATACAGGAGAAAACAACTGCTCCCCTCACACTGCCACTCTGGAAAGAGCTGGGGGCTGCCACAGTCAGTGGGCTGCCCTCCATGGACTCGTGGTTGGGCCCCACCAGAAGGGGAACTGGGGACAAGCAGCTGAGTCCTGCAGGGTCAGGCTTGGGTCGGGACGACTCGCATGGGGAGGGTGGGGCTTATGTGAGGTCATAGTCCAGGGGCAGGGTAGGAGGCTGGAGGGCAAGTCTGCTGGCATCTTCCCTGTGGCCCAGGGCATCACTGGGATGCACACGTGGAAAGAAAGCGGGAGGGGACTGTGGCCGTGGAGGGGGCCAGAAGGTCTGCCTCGGCTCCCTGGCAAGCACTCCTTGTCCCAGAACCTGGAAACCCCCGCCTGGAGGTATCATCTGCACATGAGGCAGGTTCCGCCTTCCTGCAAGCAGAGCGAGTCACAATCGCTTTGGGATAGCTGGGCTGTGGCCACCAGGCAGGACAGTGATCTGCCACTGGGACTGAGAGAGCTGACAGCATTGGCTGGCCTCAGTTGCATCGTGCCCACAAACACTGATGCCCATCATTTCCAGTGTGTATGGCTTCCTTTACTCATGTAGGCACGCAGGTACGTAGGCACACAGGCATGCAGGCACGCAGTTACATAGACATGCACGTAGGAAAAAAGGTGCATTCCCTCACTGGCCCTGTCTACTAGGAGACAAACTAAGATCCGCCAAGTTCTGAGGCACCTGGAAGGTCAGACGGGGAGGAGCCTCGTGACCAGGGGCCTAGAGTGGGACCCGGAGGGAGGAGGACCAGGAAGTGAGCAGCCGAGTGGAAGAGAGGGGAGGAGGTGGGAGGAGCAGTGTGGGAGGAAGAGTGTGGGAAAGTCTTGGGTGAAGTGGAGTTTCTGGAGAAATACTTGGGGCTGGGGTGGGGCGGGATGGAGCAGAGCTGGACTGGGAAGGAAAGGGGCTGGGGCTGGGGCTGGGCTGGGGTGGGACTGGGGTGAGGCTCCTGCTGGGCTGTGGGTGGGGTGGAGCCATCAGAGGCAGGGCGTGGCTGCAAAGATGGAGCTGTTTGCCTGGGAAAACCACGGAGAGTGGGCCTGAACAGCTTCATGACAGAGGCCAGACTGTGCCCTTTTGAGTCCTTGCCATAGGTGTCCAGTCTGCGAGAATCGGTGAGAGTCAAAGCGACCATGACCCAGTGTCTTCAGTGACTGCATCTGAACTTCAGAGTGGACCCCAGGGGCCAGGGAAGCGGAGAGAGGCACGACCTCTGGGCAGAGTTCCCCATCGCTGGGCTGAGGCTGGCTCCCCTCCAAGCCACCCTGGGACTGCTGGCCCGGTGCTGAGCAACAGTCTATCTGTTTTTTTGCAGAGGCGAAAGAAAATCCTCAATGTGTTTCCTGCTGCCCCTGGGACCTGAGATGTCTCAGAGAAAGGCAGCTTTGCCTTCAGAACTGTTTCCTGAACTCTTCCTCTCGTCTGGGGGCTCAGCTCACCCAGGGCAACCATCTGACTCTGTTCCTATCCACCGCTCTGCCTGCTGTGTCCCTGCCTCCCAAGTGCCTGATCACAGTAAATGCTCCTCCTCCTGTCCCCACTGCTACTAGCTGAACTCAGGCCTCATGGGCCGGGGTGGTGCTGTCAGCCTAGGCCCCCCACCAGCCTGGAAACCTGTCTCTCCATCTCCAGCTGGTGTTGTACACACCACTGATTCTGTGTCACACTGCATGCACATCTGTCCTCAACCCTGGATGGAAACCACAGTTGAGCCCTCTCCTGTTTAAGCACCAACCTGACTGTGGTGCCCTGGGGGGCTCCCTGTGGTCCCAGGTCTCCTTCCTCATCGCCCAGCACTCTGGGTGGCTGTACTGGCCCTGGGCTCTGTGCAGAGCACATCCAGGACCCCACAGTTCAGCTCGTGCAGTTCCTGCCCCTAGACCGCTGGCTCCTCTTGTCCTGACAACCCTCTGTCCTCCCAGGCACAACCGTAACATACCTTTTCCGTCTGCCCTAGTGTCCCTTGCTCTCATCTGGTAGTTCTGGGGAGCTCTGCATCTTCCTGCTGATGCCTTTTCCCCCCTCTTCCACCCAGGCTGTGACTGCTGTGCACGAGTCTGCACCCCCGAGGGTCACCGAGTCCCTGGAAGGCAGGGTCGGTATCTCACTGGTTCCCGTTAGCTGGGCACCCACGCAACTG